ATTTCAAAAGAGCCTTTGAGCTAGTTTTTCAGTAAAGAGGAAACTATGATTTCCAAGAGAGCTTTTAAGCTAAGTTTTGAGTAATTATCTCAAACCAAAGAAAGAAGTTTTGTTTTTAAAATATATGAGCTAAGCATATTTTTGGGAGTAGTATTGAGCACCGATATGGGATGTGAGTTCATATTAACTCAAGTCCCCATAAACCATGTACCCATCATAGGTAGTAAAGGATCATACTTTTTAGATGACTCCTTAAGTGCTTTTTAGCATAGACTAGTGGATTCACTTAGTTAAGGCGTTCTATACGACAACAAAGTATAGAAAAGTTCTAGCAGCGTGGTCAAGATGTTGTATCACCACTTAGGCTCATAATGATGGTTGTCGGTTAGAGAATCTCCCACAGAAACTATATCTCTTTATTATATGAATAAAGTTGAGTTTGTTATTGCATTTTCTTTAACGAACTAAGTTGTTTCCACTGTTTTACAAGATTTCTATATATTGCATATGTTTTATTGCTTTATGTTGAGTTAAGTTATTCGGGAGTTGAGTAAAAGGCAAGGTAAGTGTTCCTTTCAGATTCTTTTCAAGCTTATGTTGTGTTTAGCAATTCAACTCGCATAATCGTACATTCAATGTACTGATGCCAGTTGGCCTGCATCTTATTATGATGCAGATTCAGGTAACCAAGATTATCACCCAGTGCCTCGTTGATCCGGTTGAGAACTCAGAGTCAGTTGGTGAGCCTCTTTGCATTCCGAAGGACTCTTTTTATTTTTCTTTCAGTAGTTTATTGTTAGGATGATCGGGGGTCTTGTCCCGACATCCCTCTTTGTTTTAGAGGCTTCATAGACAATTAGTAGTCAGTTGTCTTTACATTACTATTTCATATGTTAAGACTTGAGTTGCCATTTTGGCCAAGTTAAATGTTTGACCTTTAAACGTTCTAAGTAATTATTTAAGCAATTGAGTAGAGATGTATTGAATCTTTGTATTTATTCTTTTGAGTCTTCCGCTGAGTAAGTAAGCCAGGTCAAGGGTTCGCTTGGGGCCAACAGTAGTTCTCGAGTGTCAGCCACGTCCAGGGTGTAGGCTCGGGGCGTGATATAGGATCACGCGGCTATCCCACTAAGTGTAACATAAGCAAGTCAATACAACAATATAATCACACGCATTTATCAAACATATACAATATCATCACATGCTCAACAATATACAGTTACAACAAGTCGTTGGTCCTCTCACAGAACCCAAATCCAAACTTTAGCATACCGGAAAGTGGTACCCGATCCAATAGTTATGCCGAAACATGGCAACCAATCCCATATCTATGCCAGAACGTGGCAATTGATCCCAATTAGTTATGCCGAAATGTGGCAACCGATCCCATCAACACTCCACAATCACAATCACAAGTACATTCTCAATAATCATACAATCAAGAAGTGATTCATGGCATATAGTGATTCATCTATCTCATTTACAACAAGTGTGATCAATAATGCAACACTCACATATATACATGTATCATAATGAAGCAATAACAAACATACATCACACAATCATATAATCACAACCATCACCTACCTCGAAACAAGCTTGGAACCCTAAGAAGCTTGATCCTACCCTTTTTGGATTCATTCCGCTTGTTCTTAGTCTACAAATAATCAATATAATACGGGTATCAATAAACAATCACTAATTACCCGGATTACTAACAATTCTAGCAAAACCCTAGATCAACCCACAATCCCAATATCTAGTTTAGGGTTGTTTTCACCATAAATTCTAGATAAAAACACTCCCCCATCGATATTTACCCATTATATTATGTTATACGGATTGAAAAATGGATTATAGGTGTTAAAATCTTACATTTAGCCTCAAGAATAGTGAAAAACTTTCAAGAAGTCGTATGGGGTTGTCTCCTAGCTCTGAAAGTTGAAAAGTGCAGAATAAAGTTGTTTTGGCGTTTATTTATGACTTTAAGTCGCGTCTGGCCCGCCACAGCGGCACCCAGTCCACTACAGCGTCCCCGCTAGAGCGACCAAAAGTTCCGCTAAGGCGGGTTGCACGAGACAAAGAGTTATTTTAAAGAATTCCAAAATTCTCATTTCACAACACGCCCTCAACTAACGACACTCAGAAAATACCGTTCACGCCAAAGTCAGTTTCGAGAGTTCTACTCACCTGAATTCATTTCCGTAAAGTCGTACGGATTCCTTAAGGCATTAGCTATCTACTCATGCAATCAAAATCATATTTAAATCACCCGATTGCTACCAAATTTCCCCACACCTTAATGACTCTGATTTCGTCCAAATTTGGACTAGGTTGGGAAATTCCAAGTTACTACGAAAAAGTTTTTCGACCCAAATTTTTTTCTCATTGGCTTTTCTATAACGACGGAACCCGATCGTTATAATAGATATCAATTTACCCATCACTCGTCCACGAGTGACAAACTTTGGAAAAATAAGCTAAGGAAAGAATGAAGTAGTACCTAATTCGATAAACAATTGGGGATACTTATCTCGCATGTCCCTCTCGATTTCCCAAGTAGCTTCCTCAACTGGACGATGTTTTCATTGAACTTTCACGGACTTAATCTCTTTGGTCCTCAACTTACGCACATCACGATCAAGAATAGCAAACGGTTCTTCATCATATTGTATGTCCTTGTCTAACACAATTGAGTCCCACTTAATGATGTAATCTCCGTCACCATGATATCTCTTCAACATGGACACATGAAATACCTGATAAACTCCTGATAGATTAGGAGTTAAAGCCAATCTATAGGCCACAAGCCCTACACATTCCAGAACCTCAAAGGAACCAATGTAACGTTGACTTAGCTTGCCCTTTTTGCCAAACCTCATCACCCCTTTCATGGGTGACACCTTAAGAAGAACACTCTCACCGGTTTGCTAGAAGCTTAGTTTGAATACTCCTCACCTTATCTTGAGCATCCTTCACTAAATCGACCCCCAATGGTTTCACATCTCCAATCTCAAACCGTCTTATGGGTGATCTACATCATCTCCCATAGAGTGCCTCAAATAGTGCCATATCAATGCTGGAGTGATAACTATTATTATAGAAGAATTCACACAAAGGTAGGAACTTATCCCAATGCCCTCCAAAATCAATCACACATGCCCTCAACATGTCTTCTAACACTTGAATAGTCCTCTTTGACTGTCCGTATGTCTGTGGATGGAAGGTTGTACTAAAAGTGAGTTGTGTGCCAACTTCCTCCAAAACTTGGATGTGAATTGGGTACCACAGTCTGAGATGATAGAAAGGGGCACCACATGCAACCTCACTATCTCTTTCACATAAACTTTAGTCAATTGTTCAGCATTATAATCTATTCTTACCAGAATAAAATGGGCTGACTTAATCAATCTGTCAACCACAACCCAAATAGAATCAAATTTCCCCAAAGTCTTGGGGAGACCAACCACGAAATCCATGGCTATCATTTCCCACTTCCATTTCGGAATTGACATTCTTTGAAGCAAATCTGCCGGCCTTTGATGTTCATACTTCACTTGTTGGTAATTTTGATACTTAGCCACAAACTCTGCAATCTTTTTCTTCATCCCTGGCCACCAATAAATTTTCTTCAAATCACGGTACATCTTGGTCACACCCCGATGAACGGAATATCGCGAACCATGGGATCCTATCAATAATTTTTTAATCAAGTCATCAACTCGAGGAACATAAATCCTCCCTTTAACACTGAGTACACCATCTGCATCAAGAGTGGTCTCTTGTGCCTTACCATTCGCCATCTTCTCCTTGAGCTCGTTCAAATTTTCATCCTCAAATTGTTTGGCCTTGATCTCCTCAATGAGCGTGGCCTTAACTTCAATGCTAGCTAACATCCCACCTCTTTCAGAGATGCCCAACTGCATGAACTTAGACTCCAAGGTCTGAATTTCCCTAGCCAAAGGTCGCTTAGTTACACTCAAGTAAGCTAGACTACCCATACTCACTGTTTTTCGACTCAAAGCGTTCACCACAACATTAGCCTTAACCGGATGGTATTAAATGATCACATCATAATATTTGAGTAACTCTATCCACCTTCGCTATCTCAAATTCAGATCCTTTTGAGTGAACACATGTTGCAAACTACGATGATCAGTAAACACTTCACACTTAACGCCATAAAGATAATGCCGCCAGATCTTAAGAGCAAATACTACAGCTGCCAACTCCAAATCATGCGTTGGATAATTCCTCTCATGCACCTTCAATTAGCGCAACGCGTAGGCTATAACATTCTTATCCTGCATTAGTACAGCTCACAACCTAGAATGAGAAGCATCACAATAAACTATGAAATTCTTACCTTCAATCGATAGTGCAAGAATAGGTCCGGTGATCAAAAGAGTCTTGAGCTTTTAAAAGCTCTCCTCACATTTTTCAGTCCATTCAAATGGTATCTCCTTCTTGGTCAAATTTGTCAAGTGAGTGGCAATAGAAGCAAAGTTCTTCACAAATCGACGATAGTAGATAGCGAGCCCCACAAAACTCCTAACCTCCATCACATAGCCAGGCCGAACCCAATTTTTAACCGCCTCAATCTTTTGAGGATCTACCATTACCCCTTCTTTTGAAACTACATGTCCAAAAATTGCAACAGAAGTCAACCAAAATTCACACTTCAAAAATTTAGCATACAACCTTTATTTCCCAAGAACACCCAGAACAATACGAAGATGGTCGGCATGCTCTTCCTCACTTTTCAAGTAGACCAAAATATCATCAATAAAGACTATTACAAACGAATCAAGAAATGGTTTGAACACCCCATTCATCAAATTCATAAAAGTTGCAGGTGCGTTAGTCAAACCAAAAGACATAACTAGAAACTTGTAGTGCCCATAGCGGGTTCTAAACGCCGTCTTGGGCACATCTTCGGGCCTAATTTTTAATTGATGGTCACCAGACCTTAGATCAATTTTAGAGAAGGCTGATGCACCTTGCAATTGGTCAAAAAGATCATCTATTCGAGGCAAAAGATACTTATTTCGAATAGTAACCCTATTCAATTACTGATAATCTATACACATCTCCATACTACCATCTTTTTTCTTAACAAACAAAACATGGGCACCCCATGGGGAAGCACTAGGTCGAATAAATCCCTTATCAAGAAGCTCTTGGATTTGGGGCTTAAGCTCTCTTAATTCCGCTGGAGCCATGCAATATGGAGGGATAGAAATGGGGTGAGTACCAGGTTCCAAATCAATACAAAAATCTATATCTCTATCCGGAGGCATACCAGGCAAATCAGTAGGAAACACTTCTTTATTTTTGGACACCACAAGAATAAACTCAATAGATGGAGACTCAACCTCAACATCCCGGATATGAGCCAAATAAGCTAAACAACCCTGCTCTACCAGTTTTCTAGCCCCGAATGAAGGATATGATCTTAGCTTACTTAGGCTTGTACACCCCTTCCCACTCTAATTTTTCCCTTCCCAGAATTTCTAGAGTTACAGACTTAGTATTACAATTAAAGCACAATATACTAGGGGGACAACCAAGTCATGCCTAAGATAATATCAAAGTCAGTCATATCCAAAATCACCAAATCAACCCAAGTCTGAAAACCCATAAACAAAATATGACAAGCACGATAGGCATTGATGACTATGACTGACTCTCCAACTGGGGTAGAAACATGGATAGGGGCATCAAGTGCATCACAAATCATATCAAACTCTGAGGCAAATTGCACAGATACATAACAATAAGTAGAACCCAAATCAAAAAACACATTAGTCATTCGGTCACAAACAAGAATAGTACATGTGATCACCGCGTCAGATGTCTCTGCCTCATTCTTGCCCGAAAAGACGTAACACTGAGCCCTATCATCTTGACGAACCACTTTCCTACCTGGTTGCACATTACCTCTGCCTGCATTACCATTTCCTCTAACTTCACGGCCTCGCTAATTACTTCCTCGCCCACCTTGTGGACGCCCTCGACCATTAATACCATTTCTCGCGGGTACCACTGCTCTAGACTGCTGCTGCACGAAATCCATCATATGCGGGTGGGGACAATCTCTCCTTATATTCCTAGGTTCTCCATAATTGTAACAAGTATGATCAAAGAATATATGGCCTGCTGCCCGCTGAAGGCGCGACCCCCTGGCTATCCTGAATAAAATTATAAGGTGGAATTCCCAAGTAATTACTTGTAGAGGTGGGCATAGTGGACTGAATTGGCTTGGCTGCAAGTGTTGGCCTTCCGGGCCCCCTAGAATAAGAACCTTGAAAGTTACCCGAGTTATTGGCCCTTTTTGCCAATGCCTTGGCTTGACCGTCTCACCTTACCCCCTCCATTATCTTAACAAAGTCAGTTACCTCATTAAAGCTCCTCCCTGCATAAGTCATATGAACAAATAATACTTGCAACTCAGAATTTAGTCCCCTAATAAATGAATGGATCCTCTCCTCCTAAGTAGTCACCAATTGAGTAGAATATCTAGACAAAGCATGGAACTTGTCCTCATAAGCAGTCACATTCATACCACCTTCCTCCAACGACATGTACTCATCTTTCTTGCGATCCCTCAAAGTCCTAGGTACATATTTCTCTAGAAATAGAGCTTGAAATTGCTTCCAAGTAAGTGGAGGTAAAGTTGAAGATATGTATTCCATATAAGCTCTCCACCACTGATTAGCCTCACCTTGAAGCTGAAAACTCACGAACTCAACCCCATGTTGATGGACAATTCCCAACTTGTGAAGCCTCTCATATTAATCTAAGATGAACTTATAAGCATCCTCACTCTTAGAACTAAGAAACACGAGATGCTTTAGCTTCAAAAACTTAGTCAATATTTCATGCTCATTACCAGTCATAACAGAACCCAACAAAAGACGGAAGAAAGTATCATTACCTCCAGTTCCACCCGTCTTGGGGGCAGTGTTAGCAACAAGGGGATGGACGGGAGCCTGAGCTGCTTAAACAGAGGGAAGCGCTCAAGGACCAGCCAATCCCTTCAAGAACGACATGATCTGTTGAGCTAACATTTGGTCCAAAAGAGGAATACAT